ATAAAAAAGACGATTTTTCCTCTTAAAGAAAATTTTGTTAAGAGGCACAATTGTAGTAAACAATTCCATTGTTCGGCAGGGTTTGAAATGGGTCATTGTATGGTACCAATTCATGGTGTGACGGATTTAGATATGATATGTCAAAGCTATTTTATGAGACCATGCTTTCATGAATGGTACAACTACACCATTCAAATTTGTAACAGAAAAATCCATTTTACTAAGTGGGCAGTGTGTTGTGTTTCAAAATAAAAAATAATTACCGTGTATTTATTAATTTATTTATCTTTACTCTAAAGGCATGTACTAAACTATGTGAATCTTGTAATTATGTCTCATAAAATATCAATAATAGTATAAAATAACCAAGCTATATTAAATGGGGTATAGAGTTACTAGCTTTTATTGTAAGACTAATTTATAAGACCCTTTCCAAAATCTCCTTACATATAATTTTCGAATGTGTTGAGCCTAAGTGCAGACTCACAGGTTTTGGATTTTATGTGATAAAATTTCATGTTTCGTCATTTGGCATCGATAGATTTTAATTTACTTCCAATTCAAAAAATAATTGAGCTTGAAATTATACATAAATATATTGGATATTCACGACCCTTTTTATGACCATTAATTGTACTTTAATACATATTGTATATTAAAATAATTTTTATAAATAAAATTAATTATTTATTAACTTTAATTGAAAATATTATAATAAAAATGAGTAAATCGGGTGTCATTTAAATAAAAATAATTATATACTTTTTTAAAAAGTATTTAAAATTTAAAATAATTTATTTTTATAACTTTTTAAAATTATGTATAAACTTCTTAACAAGCACTCGTGTAATATACGAATATTGTACTAGTATATAATATAATACTAATGACATTATTTTTCATTTTCTTTTGTCCCTTTCTTACCATTCATAAAAAAACATTTTGTCTATGCATTCACATCTACATTTTGCTTAAATTTTTATGTCTGCAAAGCAGTCTGTAATAGGATTTTGTTGATAATAATTATATTGGTATTCTAGTGATATTCATGTAAAATATTTTGCAAATAGTATGACCATACTATTTAGAAAAAAAATATTGAATATCATTTCGTAAAAAAAAAAAAAAAATTCAACGTCGTGGAAATTATTGAATATCATTTTTATACAAAAGAAAAAAAAGAATCAATATCACGTCATTGTGCCATTGTGGTGGTTTGAGTTTTAGCTAAAGACCAAAAGTGTTAATCTATCTATAACATTTAATAGGAAAAAACACGTGTAAATATTCAATTACAATTTACAACCCAAATTTGGCTTTCAAAAATTTCCACATAAAACGCAGACTGGAAGTAATAGCACTGCCCAAAAACTCGTTAAAATTTTCTCCTAATCCGAAAAACACAACACAACGCCATGTAAAGCTCACGCTCTGAAAAATTTGCCATCTTATGTCTAAAATCCCCCTTCAAAACCCCTCTCTAAGAACAAGACTCAATTAGGGTTCGTGGCCGTGCTCGATAGAATTCTGATTTGTTCAAATCTCCCTCCTTTGCTTTCTGAACGAATTCCTTTTACCAATTTCCACCCCCCCTTTTTTTTACCTCTTTTATGCATAAATTTTGCTTTGTTTCTGATGGGAGCTCTTATATAAATTTACCCTAATGCAATTCAGCTGAAAACATTAATTCTTTTCTTTTGTTTTGATGTTGTTCAATTTATCTGTGAAGCTGGTGATTTTGCGCGGACCCTGTTTGTTATCTGTTTTGATCCCCAAATGTGTATAGATTTCTCGTGGTTAGTTTAGGGTTTCTATTTTTGTATTCAATTAAGTAATGGGGCTTGGGGGTGCTCGTATCTATTTGATTGCACTTGGTGAAGTTGGGATTTGTGGTTGAGAACGAAGGGCATTGGTGACTTGTTGGGGATGAGTAGTGTTTTCAGTGAACAGATCCTTGGCGATAAGCTTTCGAAGCTCAACAGCACTCAGCAATGCATTGAAAGTATCCTCCTTAATTTATTTTCGCGCATACTTCGGCATAGCTTTCTGTTGGTTCACATTTCGCTAAGGGAGAATTGCGTGCTTTGCATTTTTCATTTTCATTTGCCTCATCTTTGGTCAATGGATTAGAGATATTCGGGATTTGGTTGTCGGATAAATAGCTATCCGTGGAACATCTAACGGTTACTTTGGAATTTGGTAAAAAATGTTACTTTCAAGGTTGATAGTCTGATTTTGGTATATAGAATTCACAAAGTTTGTCTTTTGAGGTTGATACTCTGATTTAGGTATGTGGAATTAAAGAAGTTTGTCGAGAAGTTGCTGTTTATCAGATTTTCAACATTTAGCCAATAATTCCATTTATGGCATGGAATTCGAGTTTTATTGGAATTTGATAATAATTGATACGTCCGAGATTGATATCTGATTTTGGTATGTGGAATTAAAGAAGTTTGTCAAGAAGTTGCTATTTTTTGGATTTTGAACACTTAGCCGATAGTTCCTTGTACGGAGTGGAATCCAAGTTCTATTATCTTTATTTGGGAAGACAAAGTTGACAAATGTAATGTCATGTAAATCTTATTGCAGCTGGATTTATCATTCAAGTTTTTGGTATAGTGTGTAGTTTTGTCAAATGGAGTTTTAAAGATTTTCTGTCGACTAGGTATTTCATACACGTATCTAACAGTAAAACGATCGCAAGCACGCAGGAATTTAATCAAATGACATAAGCAAGTTCCATAATTTTTTAATTAACTTTATTTTTCACGTGCTTAAATTTGTATTTTGATAGAATTTGTGTTTGTTGTTCACCTTTGCAGAGAATACTTATTCTACTTTATTTGAAATTATTTTCCCTTTTGGGCATATTATGTTCACCTTGACTCTGCGATTATAGCTTTGTCACACTGGTGCATCTTTCACCGTAGTAAAGCCGAACAAGTTGTTGCCACATGGGACAAGCAATTCCATATCTTGGATATGGCCCATAAAGTGCCTCTTTTGTACCTTGCAAATGATATTTTGCAAAACAGTAAGCGTAAAGGAAATGAATTTGTGACCGAGTTTTGGAAGGTTCTTCCATTGGCACTTAAGGAGGTCATTAGCAAAGGGGACGAGCGTGGAAAAAATGTGGTGTCCAGATTGGTGAGCTTTTCTCTATATTTCCCTACACCAAATTGAAGGAAAAATTTGAAGATTTGTTTGTATGGTTTTGATTTCTTTGAAGTTTTCCGAAGGCCTTATATATGAGATCTTGAATATTTGAACTCTGTGTTTGTGTACTAACATGCCATGCTGAGTAAATATATTTTTTTCATATCTTAATTAAATTTGCATTTTTTAAACTCTTTTCTTCTTATGTGTGTGCGTGACAATCAGATGATCAAGTTGGTTATGTTTTGTTAGAAATGAACAACTAAAATATACTCTTTTCTCTTTCAACAGGTGGGAATATGGGAAGAAAGGAAAGTTTTTGGTTCTCGTGCTCAAAGCCTTAAAGATGTGATGCTTGGAGATGAATTGCCTCCACCTTTGGAGCTGAGGAAGAAACGTTCTCGTTCGGTCAGAATAGTAAAAAAGGATTCTCGATCCATAAAAACGGTGAGAATTTCCATTTTCATGCATCTCGAGGGCGTTTGATTTCATTTTTACTTACTTTTATATGTCACCTACCTTTTATAGCTAGAATCGAAATCATTTTCTTATACGCCTTGAATATGTTGTTCTGGAACCAGAAACTGAGCATCGGTGGCATGGCAGAGAAAATAGTTTCGGCTTTTCACTCAGTGGTCAGTGATCATACTATTGAAGATGAGCAAATGAGTAAATGCAAGTCCGCAGTCCATCGCGTGAAAAAGATGGAGAAAGATGTTGATGTGGCATTAACAAAAGGTACTTTTTGCAGTTATTTTTTGGGGGTTAATTCCATCATAGTTTTACCTTAAATATCTCTCAAAACTACTAAATATTCTCATACATTTATGTTTCTTTTAGGTCAACAAACCCTCAGAAGGGTTTTCCTACATTTTAAGGGATTGTTTGTAATTTTGAAAAATAATTGGAGTTTCTTTTTGGTAGCTAAATTACACCTCAAGTGTAGTTTTTGTTTGGAGTAAGTTAAGTTATAATTTGTCTGTCGTACTTAATATCGAAAGTGTTGCTATTTTATTGTACAGTGAAAGATCCATCACGTAAAACCCTATCCAAAGAGTTGGAAGAGGAAGAAAATCTTCTAAAACAATGCATTGAGAAGCTTAAAGATGTTGAATCAAATAGAGTTGCACTCGTGTCTCAGTTGCGAGATGCTCTTCGTGAGCAGGTACATGATCAACTCCCAAGGAGAATTATGTTTGGTATTTCGCCATGTGAACAGTAAAATCTAAGGTTGTATACGCCATTGACTCTGTTTGATTTGTTATGGTTTCTCTTTCAGGAATCCGAATTGGAGAATCTTCGGACCCAGATGCAGGTCTGTTCTACGATGATTGCTCATTTGTCGACATCTTTAAATTGTGCAAAAAATAAAAGGAAAAACAAAACAAAAGAAAAAATGTTAGGTTTTACAACAGATTACATAACATAGCAATGCTAGCCATACCTTGCCATGAGATTATCCTTATAAATGAGCTGCTATGTGATTTTTGGGAATGGATGCTTTCTGGATATCTCCTATTTGTAGGAATTGATTACTGAGGTCCACTCAAGTCAAAAAGGGAACAAACATTCACTTCTGAAATATAGCTCTCGATATTCTGTTATTCTTTCTATATTTTATTCTTTTCCTTTTTTCTTTTGTAGTTATTATAGACCAGGTGCCAGAAAAATATCTTCCTATTATTGATGCATATTTTCAAACTATTCCAGGTAGCACAGGCACAAGTAGAAGAAGTTGCTGACATGCGCACACGTTTGGATGACGAAGATCATACGTTCGACCCAAAGCCACCAACAACTGCATCAGTAAACGGCAAAACCGATCACCAAACGTCCAAAAAATCGGCTGCCGCAATTGCCGCCGAAGTTGCCGACAAACTCACTGCTTCCACCTCATCCCAATACATAATGACGTCCGTCCTCTCCACTTTCGCTGCCGAGGAGGCCCAAAATGCCGGGTTCACCACATCAAAGCCCGAAAACCACCATGGGCCTGTAATGGGCCCTGGAGTCTTCACCAACCCCCCACAGAATAACAACAACCCATACCAATCGGTCATGGTGGGCCCACCACCATCGGCCCAAATCTCCGGATCGCAGGCCCACTACCATTCTATTCCCAATCCTTCTTCTTCTCTGCAGTATGTGCAGCAGCCATCTGGCAGCATGACGGGCCCGTACGAGTACAATGGGCTTGGGCCCTTGCCACCTCATCCGGGCCCTCCTTCTTACATGGTCAGCCCGATGGTGTCTCTGGTGCAGCAGCCACAGCCCGCGATGACTCAGCAGCAGATGATGCCCATGGGCCACCAACCGCCGGGGCCCACTAGTTTTAGGCCTCTAACACCGAATATTCAAGCGCCTGGGAATGGAATAGTGTATTATACACAACCTTATGGGTCACAGTAGCAGAAAAAGTCTTAAAGTCAATTGATCTGTGGTAATTTCTTGTAAGCAGACGTTTTCTTGTGAGCATGAATTTTGTTTTGGCATGACTTAGTAGACGAGATCAATGTTTTAGTGGCTACTGGACTAGTCAAAACAGTTGTGTGTGCTTTTTCTGGAGCATCGTATTTATAATTTATTAGGGAATGATTATTTTTTTTAGAAGAAACTATGTATTTTAAGGGTAGAACAGTGAACTGTTTTTGTTTGTTGCTATGGATACCGTACTGTTTTTGTTTGTTGCTATGGATACCGTTTTGAAATTTTCAGTGCCATAGGGATATAGATATGTAACTATAATTTCTAAGAGAATGTAACTGAAATTGATGTAATGTAAGATGATCTCCAAAGAGAACGAATAGTTTTCTTTCTTAAGAAGTTTTTTGATGTAGTAATCTTGTATTTCTGAGCTCCAATGATGTCTTCGTCTCTTTCGGAGATATTCACAGAACTCCAGTCGGTGGAGAGAAGAAGTGTGCAAGGAATGCAAAGGCACACTCCGCGGCTAAACCCTCCGGAAGCGGAAGTGGCAAAGAAGCCTGAGGGCAAGTGCGAACGGTGCAAGCAGAGACGATACTGGAAGATCAATTGTCCTCTTTTCAAGAACGGCGGTGGAGGTAAATCTCTTTCATTAGTCGTAAAAACATGTTTAGCGAAGTTGTCTACCAGTATCTGATGTGTAGATACGAGAGCCACTAATCATGTCTGCAATTCATTGCAGGGTTCTAGGAAGCCAGACGACTTAGGGAAAGAAAGGTTACCGTCTACATGGGTAACGTCAGATGTTGTTGCAGTGGGAAACGTTTATCTTTATTTCTATTTAGATGGAACTTTGGTTTTAACAATTGTCTTTATGCTCTCAGTTTTAGACAGAATTTAATTTCAGTTTCTAGATTGATTGCAAATAGATATTCTGTTGTTTTTTTATAATAAAGTTGTTATTCATTATGACAAGAAATTTATTTTTGATGGTTCATTGGCTGACAATTTGTATGTTCTAGAACCAAAGTCTACCACAATGCAACATAAGGAAACTCATAATTCACCATCTAATATAATTAGTCCTAATAGCAATAAATAACCATGATGCTGGTTCCCGAAGTGGTGAAATCGGCCCTAGACAAACTTGGAACAGAGGTTCCGCAACTCCAGTTCCTCCACTACCGCGAACCCCTGTTAGATTCAGGCATGCTACACTTTTGAGTTATTAGGAGAACCCAAGTACTCTCTTTCGGATTCAGGAAACAACTCTCATTAGAAAAGATGAATAATGACCAATTTTTTTTAAAAGATAAAATCTAACCATTTTAGCATGTAAAAATACCAATTTACTCTCAACTCAATTTTTCACTTCTGACCAAATACCAACTCCTTTTCCCGCCACCGCAATGAACAACACCTGTTCCGCCACCAGAGAGAACACCACCTGTTCTGCTAGAGCACCACCCGTTGCACCTGAAAGAGCACCTGGATCGTCTACGGCGTATGTTTTGTAAAGCGTAAAACATGGAGTTGCTGAGGCGATGAAGGAGATGGTGTCGGCAAAAATTGAGGATGCTTTGGCTCTCCTTAATATTACCAATATAATTAAATAATTATAACAAGGGAAAATTACATACATAGACCCCCTTGTATACATATTTACATATATACAGTCCGAGCAAACATTTATCAATATAGGATTAGGATCTGTTTTTTATTTCAATATTACGAGATAATGATTTATATCTGTTTCTCTCACTCCATAATCTTGATCATGGCAATATGTCGCCGAAATCAACGCATCAGAAACCGAAGTTTCAAAAAGAAAAAACAAAAAGGAATAAATATCGCGATTTTGATACCTATAATTCAGGTAATTACAAATTCAAATCCGAAACGGGATTTACAGTTCAAAGAATTCTTGTAGTCCCAAAAAAAAAACACTGATAAGCTGGAAAAATGAAATCGATAGTGTTGTTTCTGAAAAAAGATCGTGAAATAGCCGCTGAGCCAAAATATATGTTTAGATATACTGTATATATACCTAAGATAAACATTATCTGACATTTTTTTTATTATTAACCGTATAGTTATACATAAGATAAACAACACATAAACAATTTTAAAAGGGATTAAAAACATAATACACATTTTTTACTATTAAACGTATAGGTATATATAAGATAAACAACATATAAACAATTCTGAAAGGGATTAAAACATAATACACAGGGCCGGTGTTGTCGAGGAGGTAGCAGACGAAGGGGTCTGGGAGCTCGTGGATTAGGGTTTTGATGGATGAGGATTTGAATTTGGGGTACCATTCTTGGATCTGGCATCTGTTTACGTCTTACATCTTCATCTTCGATGAACTGAATCGATCGAGAAAGAGATTTCTTTCTGAAAGAGATTTCTTCATCTGTCAGCACAACTTGGAGTGCTTCCCGCCGATCATAAATTTCTTGATGATTTTTGTTGCCGCTGAGGGGTTCTTCCTCTTCTCGCACACCAGTGCGGCAGAAAAAGTTCTGCTCGGCGAGCCACATTAGAGAGGGAAAGAGAGAGAGGGATTGCGAGAAAGTTCGAGAGAGAAAAAGAGGGAGAGAGAGAGGGTGGGATATATCTCGATATTTGTGATGAAAAGTTTATCATCTCGTATTTTTTATATTATGTGTCAAATAATTAATAGAGGGAGTAATTTTCTCTTATAACAAATCATCTTTACATATTACAATAACTTTAATTCACTATTCATTCATTCACATATTTTTAATTACATATCATTTTCAATAATCTCTCTCATACTTTTACATCACATCAACTTTAATTATTAAATTTTATTAAATTTTAAATATTATTTAAATACAAACTTAAAATCCCACTCAATTTTCCACCTAATTAATTTTATTCAAAATTAACTCACTTTAACCCATAAATCCAATCTAGACTGATTTTATTTAACCCATAAATCCTAATTAATTTCTTCACCGTGCGCAATTTGTACAGTAGTAACTGCTATTATGGGTAATTTTGGCAATCAAGTAAAACATTTCAAAGTCGAATAAATATTTTACAACATGTAGTCCCATCAAAGTAAAAGAAAATCATAAAATTTACATATTCAACATTTGAACCTCTTCCCGATAATGAAGTCTCTAATAAAGAGAGGCACATGGTACAATATCGCCATTACTGTCGACAGATGGCCATAGCTAAACCATGCGGGCGGGCTTTCCTTTAAGACTGCATCCACCGTTTTCTTAGCAAACTCTTCCGAAGGAGTAGATTTTGGGCCTTGCGAGTATGTTGCTCTCACTCGAATTGCCTCTTCAAATGGCTTGAAAAGTTTCCACTCTGGCATTTGGCTGTAGCTGGCTAAGGCTGAGTTTCCTATATTGGACGTAATGGCTCCCGGCACAACATTAATCACATCAATCCCGAAATGCCTTAGTTCCAATCTGTATATATATATAAATACACATTATGGTATCTATGTTTCAAATTACAAATACATTAACAAGGATTACAAAATAGTATGCGCTGGAGTCTTTTCATTGAGATCCAACTTGTACTATCATACACTAGACTGTTGTGTTAGTCATGAATAACTTGAACACTGGTACAATCTAAATGTTTCACACGACAAGAATATTGTTGTCTTAGCCGTCAAGAACTTGAACGGAAGAAGCAGGATTAGAAGAAGCAGAAACAAAAGAAGCAGAAGAAAGCAACTTATGCTATCATGCACTACATTGTTGTCTTAGCAGCCAAAAAGTAGAACATAAAATACAAACTAAGGGCGTGATTGGACACAAATATATCCGCTCAAAACGAGTTTCTTTGGTTAACCATGGTTAATTTTAAAATATGTGGTATGATTAATTGTTAGTGGAATTTTGAATTCATATTAAAATAATATTTCAAATAAAACAATTAAAGTTGATTTAATGTAATAGTAGGAGAGGCGTGACGTGAAAACATGGTTAGTTAAAATTATGTGAGTTGGTGAATAATTAATTAAAGTTGATGTGATGTGTAAGAATTATCGATTGATACTGTTTAATTATATTGATAATATTGAGGATAGTGAGGTTGAATTGAAGTTGAGTTAGATTTAGAGTATGAATTAAGTATGGGTTGAGTTATTCTATATACAAACACCCCCTAAATGTTTCAGATGGTAGAAGAAGATTGTTGGCTTAACCGTCAAGAACTTCAAGAAGGAATTACTGAACATGACAAGATCTGTTCTAAACCCATCCACGCATTTCCTGACCTAAGAAGTATAAACAAGATGTACTTAATCCATCAAAAATGAATTCCAGATACTCCCAGTCAGTTGGTGAGCTTACAAGTTTTTTGATGGCGTGGAGCTTAATAATTCACTAAGAACGTTTCCGGATACTACAATTATTGAGATCCATGCCAGTTTCAATAGGCACCCTTTTAAGTTCCTGTAACATGTTTTCTGGCCAATTATTTGTTCATATTTCATATGGGGGGGTTGTTCAACGACAATGGGTCAGGTCGATAGTCATAGGTCTTCACATTACAGAAACAAGTTTCAAAAACCAGAAAAATGATCATTACCTAAAGTAAAGATAATGGCTTTTAGGAAAATGAACAATTGAACTCACATTAATTGTGTTGGTCTATGACATTTGACACATAACATGTCCCACCACATTTTCTGGTAAATGCACTGCCGAGGTCATTAAACACATACCTCAGAGTATCAGATATTGTATGGATAGCAGCTTTTGATGCAGTGTAAGTGCCAGCCCATGGTAGCGGGGCCAAAGCAGTGACACTTCCAAAATTGACGATTTTGCCCTTCTTCCTAGATGCCATATGCGGCACAACAGCTTGAATCAACCTCAAGGATCCTATGAACAAGAATAAGCAACATATAGTTTAACCCACATAAAGAATATCTTATCACCCTAATATATCTACAAGGGGAATAAAAACATTGTTTGCATAAGCATAGGAAGGAATCTGATTAGACTTATTTGTTCCAGAAGCATATACGAATAATAATACAACAACAACAACAGCAACATACCCAGTATATAGTATATTCCCAACAGGTTGGGGTCTGGGGGTCAGTTGTACGCAGACCTTACCCTTGTAATTATACAAGGAGACTGTTTCCGTAGCGACCCAAGGTGCATTGCGCCGTTTGATATTTTTTTTTTTTCTAGAAGCTTCACTAATAGAAGAAGCACTAGAATTTAATTGAGCCATTTTGATCTAGTCCATTATTAGCACTATGCAAGGAGAATTGTCAACAATGACTCTTCCAGCTCCATTTGCAATGGACAAATACGAATAATAATAATTAAAAAATAATTCAAAGAACAAGAACAATGAGGAACTAACATCAGGCCGAAGAGATAGGATTCCCTGAAAGATGTTACTCACCACATGGCATATAAAAACCAGCACTATTACTTTGTTATATTAGCTTCTTAAGTGGATGCCACAGCAGATCAGATAAGTCTTCAGAAGACAGAACAAATGAAGGCCACACTTTAGATCGATCACACATAATAGGAAAAGAAGAAAATTTTTACTCAAACAAATTAGCTGCCACAACACAGAAGTTTAATTTTTCAATGCTGCTGCATTTATTGCATCTTGTTCATATCTTTCTCCAAACTAAAGTTGCACTGTCCAACTTATCTAGTTCAGGTACACTTACGACTTATCAATTGATGCCTAACTGCAACTTTTAACAAAGGCCCATTCGAGCAACGAAAAGAACTCCCACATTCGTGGAGAAAATGTTTAATTGAAGGAAATTGGTAAAGAATAGTTTCTTATTCCCGACTTTGTTGCATTAGCATTTAGCATTGCCTAATGAAGCATTAAAGTTGACATCTTTCTTCTTCTACACCTCGCATGACAATGGATCAACAATGTCTGAATTACCCGCTAATCATGTGAATTGTAAGTGCAAAGCAGATGATATTCTTAATTTTTTGTGTCAACATCTTCAAAGTTAACCAAGTCATGATGCTGGGCAAATACAAAATTTTTCATGTCCACTGCAACAATGTCAACACAAAAATGCTTGATTATAGAGTTTGGATAAACAAATATAGCTACTGGCCTTAGCTTTGTTGAGTATATTCCAACCAGCACATCCTCATATATNAAAAAGAATATCACGGCGTGAATACACTTCAATTAGTTGCAGAATATAAGTAGATCAATCAACCAGAAATAGCATCAACCATTAGATCTGATCCATGTTCCAAGTTCATATTTACACTACCACACAGCACTGCTGCAGGCCCTCCAAACAGAAATTCGAAACCTAGAACACAAAAATCAACACAACAAAATGCAGAATGGAAGAAATCAGAAGAACACCATTGGCTAATCTCTCACCGAAAACATTAGTATTGAAGGTCTGTTCGATGGCGGACAAAGGAACCTCCGCGATGGGCCCCACGCACTGGACTCCGGCATTGTTAACCACGACATCGATGCGGCCGAACCGTTCCAGAACCGTGGACAGGGCGTGGCGCACGCTCTCGTCCGATGAAACGTCCATCTCCTGGACGAAGAACCGCGGATCGTCCTGCATATCGGAGATGGATGCGAGCGAGCGCGCGGTCGCCACCACCAGGCAGCCACGCGAGGCGAACTCGCGGGCGAGCGCGTGGCCTATGCCCCCGGCGGAGCAGCCGGTTATCACGACCACCTGCTTCTCGTAGACGCCCATTTTGACTGTTGATTTTCAAATTAAACTGTGAGAGGTTTCTACGAGCATTTTTTTGTATAGAAATATTTTGAGACTCGGACCGGCCTGGCGGGTCGACCCGGGGCCCGGTCGACCCGGAGCCGGAACCGGTCCGAGTGGAGTATTTGGACCGGGCAACTAAGGACCCAGTCAAACCCGGCCGACCCGGGTCAACCCAGATGACCCGGCCGGGTCAACCCAGTTGACCCGGTCCATATATATTTTTTATATTTCTTTTTATTTTTTTTGTTTTTTTTTTAAATAAAAATATGTATATATGTTTATATGGTAAATATTTATCACGAGATACATATTATTAACACTTTAATATACAAATTTTATACACAAAACATTTAATTTTGTTACTTTTATGTATATTTATATAACAAAAATACTCTATATATAATTTTAAAAATTTTAAAATTAATTATCCGGTTCAACAATTGGGTGACCCGACGGTTGAACCGGTGACCCAGTGACCCGAGGACCTGTCCGGGTTGATCACCGGGCCGGGTTTAAAAACTATGCTTTCATTAGTTTAACACTTTGCAACCTAAACTAAATTTTGTAACAAATGACAACCCATACTACTTAAAAAACCACAGGTGGCAACCTGCACTAAATTGCGTAGCAAATAATAATTTGTGCTATTTGAAAATACATGCTGTCATGCAAGTATATAAAAATAAATTTGATAGATTCATTTTAGCCCCTCTCACATTGTTAAACAAATCGGCAGTATTACAGACATAGCCATCGATGCATGTTATTACCGATGTGAACCATAATACTGATGTTATTATTGATGTAGAAAATATAATATTATAATATATATACATATTAAAATTGAATAAGGTTAAAGTAAGACCTTCAATTTAATTTTTAAATTCACAAGTTAAGGGTTAACTTTTTTCTTAAAAAAATTATTGTTTAATATTTTTATTTAATAACCAATACTTTTAGTATGTACAGTACAACTCAGGTGCAATTTGATACTTCATTAATTCGGTGTTTTCAATATATCTATACAAGACTATTGGTCGGGAATCGGTTAGTAAAATATGGTATATTATTTTATTCCTTGTTCAAATATATTAATGGTTTGTTTTCTTAAAATTTTTACTCTATTTCTACGTGTAGGAGCTTATTTCTCGAATATATATATATATATATATATATATATATATATATATATATTTGGATATAGGTCTTTTATATTCTTATTTTTTGTGTATTCCGACAAGTTTTCTAAATTCAAAGTAATTGAAGATTGTAAACTATATTCTTTTTAAGAGTTGTTATTTGCTGTGGAACATAGTTCAAGTTGCAAACTGTGAATTTTCAAATAGTACGGGTTGCTATTTGCTATAAATTTAAGTTTAGGTTGCAAAATATAAAAAAGATGAAGTATAGGTTGCTAATATTATTTTTCCCTTTGAAAAATGTAATATGGCTAGTTGTTAGTGAGTATATTAAAATAATATTTAAAATAAAATAATTAAAATTGATTTGATGTAAAAGTATGAGAGAGATGATTTGAAGTGATGGTTAGTTAAAATAATATGAGTGAATGGATAGTAAATTAAAGTTGATGTAATGTGTATGAATGATTGATTAATATTATTTAATTATATTGATAATATTGATGATATAGAGACGCAAAAATTAATTGGGGTAGCTCCCATAATTATGACGTCGGTGAAGGCATGCCTTGCCTAATCAAGAAAGTACACATTTTTATAATGAGAAAATTTAATTAGACTTTTCTTTTCTTTTTTCTAAAGCCATAGAAAATCACCAATAAGCAAAGAGAACAACGTTCTACATAAGCCGAAAACACATCCAAAAATCTAACACCATGAGAGAGCCACTCAAAGAGTGGTCTAAAACACAACCCAAACTAACAAACTTTAGGCAGGGACAAACCCCCGAGACCTATAGTCGTTGAACCACTAACAACCTGACAAGAAAACACACAACAAAACAAATCAAATATAAACCAAACAAGACCCTCGCAACTAACTTAATAGAGGCCCAAAACTTTTTGTCAGTTAAGTCTCGATGGCGGCAAACTCCTGCCAATCACTCCAAGCTCCTCTGATCACCATGTCCTCTGGCATCCAAATATTTTCAAACAACCAAAGGTTCCAGGATCTCCACAACCACCAATGAATATAAGTTGCTAGTTGTATACGATTCTCAGATATAATCAAAGAATCAGTAGAACAAACCTGCCACCGCCATAGTCTAAAGGATGACACACTGTGCTGCACTCCATCCCAAATCACTAGCGCCATTTTTCAGACCAACCTAGCTCTCTTACAGGTGAAAAACAAATGCTCAATGGTTTCCTCTTGCTCACCACACAACTTACACATCATATCTATCTTGACTCCCTTCTTGATTACATTCACACTGACAGGCAGGATACCATTAAAACACTTCCAGATGAAGTGTTTCACCTTTCCGTTGACCCTCATTTTCCAACTTCTCTGTCTTATTTTTCTGTCCCTCAAACTTGTTGTGCTCCCTTTCAGCTGAGTCAAGGCCAATAACTTTTTCCTCCATGAGATGCTTGTATGATCCTGCCACTCTAAACTTCCCTTGGCCATCAAAGTTCCATTTGCATCTATCTGGCAGATCAGGTTTTAGTGAGTCCACTGCAAGGATTGCCAATCTGTCTCTATCAGCAAAAGCCCTTCTTAGCACTTAATCATTCCATCTGAGTCCATCCTCAGTCATCAGCTCCCTAACCCATACAAAAGAGTTTCTCCACTGCTCCAGAGGTTGTGGGCTATTATGATCAAGCAATGGAACCCAAGTATGATCCAATACCTTAGTTTGATTGCCATATCTAATTTCTTTAACCCTTTAGCAAACAAAGGTATCAAATCCACCCAATTATTCCGAATCCAAGAAGCATAGTTCATCCTTTTAACCTCAAAGATAGAAGAAGAGGGGTAATACATGGTCTTGAGTATTCTACTCACTAGCAGCTCTGGTTGAGTAGTGATACTCCAAAGTTTTTTCAAAATTAGGGCCTCATTGAATAACTTATAGTTTTGAAACCCCAGACCCCCATTTGCTTTAGGCAGAGTTAAGCAGCTACACTTTTTCCAGTGTATTCCTCTTTCTTTCTTAGTACCCTTACTCCACCAGAAGGCTGATGTAATCTTACTCAGCTCAGCACAAGTACCAACCAGCAGTTTAAAGCATGACATGGCAAAGACAGGTAGGGCATTGATCATTGCCTTGATAAGGACCTCCTTTCCAGTAGTAGAAAGATAAGTATTTTGCTAGCTAACCAGTCTCTTTCTTACAGCTCAGAGAATGTAGTCAAAGGCTTTCCTTTTGGATTTCCCTATTCCTAAGGGTAGTCCTAGATACCTGGTTGAATTATGAGCCTGAATCCCTTCAAGAATTAAGCACAACGACTGCTGCATATGCAAGGGAGTGTTCTTGCTGAGGAATACTGTTGATTTGGCTAGATTCACCTATTGTCCTGAAAACTTTGGTATGTGTTCAAAATGTAGAGAAGCAGCAGAGCTTGATCAGGTTCTGCTTTGCAGAACACCAATGAGCCGTCTGCAAAAAGTAAATGAGTGATAGTAGCCCTCCCTCTAGCAATTCTCAGCCCTCTGAATAAAGCCCTGTCCTCTGCGTTCTTAATGAGAGAAAAAATATTTTTGAGACAATAAGAAACAAATATGGTGAGATTGGATCCCCTTGTCTCAAGCCCCTTGAAGGGGATATATAATCCACAACCTTGCCATTCACCAAAAAAGAAAATTATGAGGTAGTGATACAAGCCATTACCCATTTGATAAAATGAGTATCAAACCCCAGTCTCTCCATTGCTTTCATAACACACACGCACTTCACTCTGTCATAAGCCTTGAGCATGTCTAATTTTAAGGCTATGAAACAATGAGGCCCGGTCCTATGTCTATTTAAATAATGGAAGAGTTCATGTGCAGTTATGACATTATCGAGGAGCTGCCTTCCAATTACGAAGGCAACTTGAGTTTGACTCACACACAGCTCAAGGCAACTTTTTAATCTTGAAGCCAGAATTTTTGAAATCAATTTGTACACTATCTTGCATAAGCTAATAGATCAATATTGGCTTAAAGAAGTGGGTTTAGGGCACTTTGGGATGGGAGCAGCTAAAGTTTGATTCCAGTACCTTAGAATCTAGTCTGAGTAAAAAAACTGCTCACTGTTGCACAAATGTCTGCTCCAATCACTGGTTAAAAGTGTTGATAAAAAAGTGATGTCATTCCATCCTTTCCCGGTGTCTTTAATGGATTCATTTGGAAAAGAACTTGTTTAATCTCACTTTCCTCCACCACAGTTGTCAGTTCCTCATTTATGGCAGGAGTTACTTGTCAATATATAAATGTTGTGATTAAATTCAAAAGTTTAAAAGATGTTGATTTTATATGCAATTTTGTCTTTAATAAATTAGGACAGTTTCGAATTAAATACTCATATTGATAAAAAAAAAGAAAGAAAAAAATGTATATAATACTAGACGCACCGAATTCTTGTAGTGTGACTCAAACCTGCCCAAAGACTCGGTTGTAATTTGGAAATCGAAGCTTCATTGGGCACCGTCCACCGTGGCCACCCACTGCCATGGACGTATATGTTATGTATGTACACACAAGGCTCTGAATTCATGCCATATAACATCAATTATCAAATAAACACTATCAAATAAACTATTAGTATATCGTAATAATGTAATGGCGGTTTAGCCCTAAGTAACATGTGGGACCTATTTGAAGGTGATCAATATCATCATATTAAAAAATATACTAGTATATCTTATCACAACAGCCAACCGACCGGGAGTAGTTATTATGTTATCTTCGATTGTATACAAATCAAATAAAAAATGAGTGGCCATTGGAAAACTCTAGAGCAGGATTTTTAAAAAAACTAAAATTATCAATAAGTATAACGAAAGCCCCCAAAAATTTATAAACTAGTGTCTTCAATTGCAAACTGGAAAACGTGATTCAGTTTTCAACTTTTAAAAATGTTGTAATTTTCTTGAATACTGGATTAGATTATTTGTTGAGTTGGTTTCATACAATTTCTTCCTTATAAACACGGCAATCCATTGAACGCGGTTCCCAAAGCAGTTTTCACGTTTGTAAGAAATAGTAATTACTTTTCTAAAGAAAACAATAAATTAGTAATACAATCAACTAAAACGGTGGGACTCGAGTTTATGTTGGGTTGAGTTTTTGGTTGGGTTTGTGAACAACTTTGATGATGCATAAAAACGAATTATTTACGAAAATAATTTTAAAAGCAGCAGATCTAAAATTAGAATTAGGTGGTTATGGTTTTAAATTCTTCGAAGACTCCTATGCATCTATAGGACCGAAAGAACTGACCTCATTACCTCGAAATTTTCTGTTGTGTTTCCGACACCTACTATTATCGTCTTCGTGGGCAATGAGCTTTGGAATCTTCCTCTCAAGAGCTCACACGTTGTGCATTGAAGAAAGAAAGATGAACATCATGTTTTTGAACACTATTTAGTTTTTAATTCTAATTCTAATATTTTTCTTGATATGGGATATTATTCTACAATGGTTTTAATGGATAAAAATGAATATATTGGAGAATAAGTCTACACATTGGTTAGAACATGTGGCATGATGGTATTGATCAAGCCTAACTTGGACCCTAGTTACACTCCCCTATAAAAGGTGGTTAAAGTATCTCAAAAACACATTATCTCTACATTGATTAATATACTCTTGAGAACTGAGTTTGAAGTGATATTGACTTAAGAATTGGAAGGCCGACGTCGGGACCCCTCCCAACGTTAGTTCTTGCAGGTACGGAGGTCGTCCGAGTTGAAAAAGCCCAGGTGAAGTCTATTTCACCAACATTTCCTCTCAAGAATCTTTTGTTGTATTTAATTCTCATTCTAATATTTTTCTTTTTTCCCTTAAGTTCACATTTTTCTCTCTCGTGGAACTCTCGTATGCGTGTGTTCTCAATGAAAGGTTCACGCTGAATTATTGAGGAGAGATGTGTATTTATATATAGGCTATAACAGGACTTTGAAGATGTATTAAATAAGGACACTCCTCATAAGATTAGGTGTTCTTAGGTTCTGGTCCAATATTTATACCTAATACATATAAATAATATTTCATTCTACTAAACAAATTTTATTATTCAATATCTTATTTAACCCCCAATTACATTGGATTTTAGATTTATCTACTCAATTTATCTTTCCATGTTCCAAATATAATGTGCTTAAATTAATTTAATTACGAATTATTTAATTAATTACCTTCTTTTTCTAAAATTTGTACCACTCAACCTTATTCTTATGTCGAAGATTAATCCACATGGTGAGAGCTTAATATATAATTTTATTGAGCTCATACAAACGGCATTACTTCCCAACTAATCCAAACTATTGATTTAGCATTATAAATCACAGTTTTCGGTGTATCAAAGAAGTATCAACTGAATGCACGAGTTCGATATTGTTTTACGAATTAAGAGTATGAGTAATAACTGAATTCTAGTTTATTTATTTGGTCAATATAAAATAAACTTATTCGCAAGTATAATTCATAAGTTTAGATCAACTAATTCCAAAATTGCACTACAACCGTCCTTGTTAACTAGTTCAATTCTATATAGATTGTGAACCATACTTTATATTTTACAAAGAAGTGGTGATATGATGTTTTGTTCAACATATTGAAATATATTAATCTACAATGTAAAATAATAGAACATACACGAAACATGATTCTTACTCAAACTGTAATAAGTTCGTAATAAAGTCAAACTTTTAGTGTACAAAAACCAACAATCTCTCACTTATGTTTAAAGTTTGTGTTTTTCTTATGTATACAAATTTCAGTTTTATTCTTTTAGAACTATGGCTATCCTATCTTCAAACATCTTACTTCCTTTTACCATTACGTGTATGTCAAAGATTTTTGTCGCTACTCTGTAAAAAGATCCATCGGGCTTTTTTTTTTTTTGAAAGAAGATCCATCGGGCTTTAAACAATATAATTCAACACAAATTAAATCACTTGTGAGTTGTCCCACATCGTTCATATATGAAAAATAGACCCACCTTATAAGACTAATGGGCTACTCCTCCTTCCACCAATTGGTTTTGGGATGGAACCCCATTTGGGCTTCATATGGGCTTTTCCCTTCTTTCATGGTGTCCTTCATGGTAATGGGCCAACACCCATTTTCCCCTAGTTTCTGTCATGGTATCAGAGCCGGTTTTATCTTGGACCGTGTGATGACGTACCCATTGTTTATCCCCCACGTACCCGTTTATGGGAGCCTGTTTGTAGTAGGACTTGGGGCACCCAGCCCAGTTGGGCTTGGGCTTTCGAAGGACTCACAAGTGAGGGGGCGTGTTAGAATATCACTTGTGTGTTAGAATATCACTTGTGAGTTGTCCCACATCGTTCATATATAAAAAATAAACCCACCTTATAAGACTAATGGGCTACTCCTCCTTCCACCAATTGGTTTTGGGATGGAACCCCATTTGGGCTTCATATGGATTTTTCCCTTCTTTCATGGTGTCCTTCATAGTAGTGAGCCAGCACCAATTTTCCCCCAGTTTCTGTCATATCTATAAAAATAAAAAAAATCAGTCCACACATCAAACTCATTTTCCAATAATTGATTTTCTAAT